ATAAACAATGGCAGCGGGCAACACTTTTGGGCCCAAAAGCCACAGGCCTCATCGATTTCTGGCCACTTCTAACGGGCCGGAAATCGGCTTTTACTTTTTTGCTTTTTCACCGCTCCTTTGTTATTCGCCAGACCGGGCTCTTCAGTTAATGCCTCCTCGGTGGCCGCCTCTTTGCGCAATTAACGCGGGTAATCCCCAGAAATCGGCTATTGGCCTGGCTTGGTTTAAATGCATTTATTTACTTAAACCGTGTAAACAATTGATCAATGCGCCGCCATTGAATTTTATAAGTAAACAGTTACGCAGCGGTTGCACATTCAATTAAAAGTTATTCAATCACAGCGGCAGCGGCAATCAACTGTATACTGTAGCGATAGAATTTCACAAATGTAAAAATTAATTAACTCCCTGGAGAACGCACTGAAATGGAACGGCGTAAAATCAACACTCAACTAATAGGGCCCCTTGGGAGTACCGGGTGGGGTAACCGGAGTGCAGCAGGAAATGTTTGAAGGCATCAACTTATAGCCATCAGCTTGCAAAAGTGCACGGCAGCGGTAATACTTTGTTAGTTGGCTATATTTTCCCAGGTCCCTGCCCTGCTTCGGGACTTGCCGGCTTCATTAGCCATTCCAAAGTTGGCTGTATATCAGGCAGAAGATTCATCTTAATATCCGCCGCCTTTGCGTCATTTTGCGGCACCAAGTCTGTATGCATTCATGGCCATAATGCCTGCGCCCAGCCCGTACACGCCCCAGGCGTCTTCCTCTTTTTGGGGCCACAAACTTATGCCGCACATTATGAGACTGCCGTTGAGCGTCGCCTGCTCATAAATTAATGAAAATTTATTTATGCCCCAAAAATATAGAGCAAACAAAGGCGGCAACTTCTCAGGACCCGGAATAAAAGGAGCTGCAGTATCAGGATGGGGTGAAGTGGTTTCCAGTGCATTAAGCAATGAAGACTCCGCCAAAGGTTGCATATATCACTCCGGAAAAATGTGCAGCAAGTTCTGCTAGCAAATGTCATGCCACATAGCAATATAGCCGAGGAGACAAAGTGGAAGAAATTCCAACTAAAAAATCAATTTGTTAAGCTTCAAATGGGGACCCGCACTCGGTGGCTCAGCCAGATAATATGCTTTTGTGTTGGCTGAAAATATTTGCTAGAATAACAATCAAGGTGTCCCGTGTCCGGGTCTTCCTTTGCCTTCCTCGAACGGAACAAAATGGCTTTTCGTGCTGCTTGCCAAATGGTCAACATTACATTTCCTATCTCGGTGCCTCACGCCCGTTTCTGCTACTTTTTTGCATGCAGTTTCCGTTTCCGTTTGGCTTAGCTTGGATCTCCTTCCACCCTACAACCCCTTCCGCCCGTTGCTCCGGCAGTTTGCATGTCATCACGCTTCCTTCGTGTCCTGCACTCGAAATGCACTTATCATGCGCCAGGACACAGGACTCTTGTCCGCTCTACTGGGTGGCACTTTGTAGATGTTTTGTCGAAAATGTCAACAAAATCCAGGCATTAATACTATATTTAGACGGAAGTTTGTCTCGGCATTCTGTTTTTCCTTTTTATGTCCCTCTGCCACATCATCAATTACACATTTTACAACTGCCGTGTCCTCTGGATGCCTCTGGGGAGAGTACACACCCCATATAAATGTATGCCACTCTCGGGTCACTCGCCAAACATACATAAATCAAACACTTCCCACGTTTCGAAACAATTTCCGACTCAAGACCCCCGTCCTCTCTCCGTGGCTGCCACTGTCTGTCTTTTAGCCGAGTTTTATTTATGACATCCGCCAAAAGCCCCACCCACTCCCATACGAACATAACTGAGCCATTCAGACAGACGTTTGATAAATGTATAGACAATACGACTTCAGTTAAAAAATTTACAATTGCTTTTTACTTGATACTCGGTAATTGTTGTTGTTGCTGGTTCGGCGCTTTGTGTTGCATTTTGATTTGTGGTTTATAAGCTCTTGTGTGGCCCATAAATTTGGCTTATTTTCATGCCATTATTGTCTGGTGTCGCTTCCAGCTCAGCGAAGTTTCCACAATTAAATAAAAACTTTAGTTTTGAACAATTGCTTGTCGCTTTCTAACATACTATTTAACATGTAAAATAATGAGAAATTCAATTAGAAAACTTTAAATGTAAATGTTTTAAAAGTGTCACCGTTTTTATATCTAAATAGATCGTGCTAGAATTAGGACTGGCAAAAATTCTGATACTGCATTCAAGGAAAACAACGATCAAAGCTTTATATGAAATTATATTTTTTGCAAAATCTACAATTTTGCAATTCACAATACTCTACCTACAATTTTTTTTGTAAAGGATTTTTTTTTATTAAAATAAACAAAAAACTTCAATATTTTTCACGTATTCACAGTAATAATACCTTATTTTATCTTTTAATCTATCGTCCGGGTTTTAGCATAAGCAAAAGTTGGGAACTAAAAAAACTATGATTTTTTTTTTTACAAGCTGGGACTTTGGAGAACTTAAAATGGTATTCTTCGAAATTGGAATTTATAAAGATTTTGAGAACTTTCTGAGAACGGGATATAATAATAATTACAGTAGCTTAAGGCCTTTAGTTGCTATAGCTGTAAATGTATATTTGTAAAATGTAAAAAATCTCAAATAATAAATAACTATATATAATAAAATGAATCCGCCTTGATAAGCGGAACGCTGAAGAGTGAAACTTAATTGGATCGAATCAAGAGGTCATAGAAAGTTCCTCAAAACACGTTTTTGCCTCGACATTCTGTTGATTCAGCCAAGTCTTAGCCACATACCTTGCTTTGCCGTCATTCCACAGAGTCCACAAAAACATCTGCAAACCGACAGACTGACAAAGGAAGGCACAAAAATTTTATTTGATGCGCTACATTTCATCTAATTCATTCCTTTATTATTTTCATTATTGGTCACATTTTATGACTTTTGTGCTGGAATGGAGGAAGTGGCTTTGGCAGGACCTTTGGAATTTGTGGCATGCAGCTTAATATTATGTGCCTTTCACTCAGACATCGGTTTATTTTCTCGGCTTCCTCCCGATGATGTTTTGTTTATGACGGTGTTTTATGTATTATTCTTGGGGCGAAAGGGTTTCGCCGGTTGGCCTCTCACGGCACGTAACTTCACCAGATGTCCATCCCGAGTGCTTAAATTATTTATTAGGCATCTTTTGCGACAGCTTACGACTTTATGAAATATTGTATTCTTTGGGCCAGGACAGCAATAACAAATGAAGCACATGGCGCAGCAGGAGCCTTTCGGGGGTCAAGTCATAAATTATTTTGTCGGCTTGTGGGACCCACGGGTCAGGCATAAATCCAATCACATTGACAGCAAGTCATCATGAATGGTATTCCCATATTCATAGGATGTTCCTTACTATTGGTTTTTATCTAACCTGCAAGATAAAGTTTTATGCCACTATAATGGAACATGCACGAGGACCAATTAAATTGAGCCTCAAATAAGGATAAAACCAAATACTTTTTGGCATTTATTACACACGTCCTTAATTATTCAGTGGCCTTCCTGTTTGCATAATTTGCCAATTGAACTACTTCCCAGCAAACACAAAAACATAGTGCATGTGTGCTCAACAGAGTTATTTATATAAATAAGATCAAATGGAAATAATTCGGCATTATTGGTCGACAAGCCGAACTATTTACTATTGATTGACATGCACACAACTTTTTGCCACCGAATTTGTCAGGACCGGGCCAAAATGGCAATGCAGGAGCAGAAAAACAAGGCAAGGACATTCTAATAAACATGTTTTTGTTTTTCGAGTTGCAACCTTATTGTTTTGCTCCGTTCGGTTAATCAAAATATACAGTGACACTGTCTCAGTGTACAGGCGATTGTGTCTCGTGGTCCTGGCTGGAAAATCCAGTCTGGCACTAAATTGCGACTTTATTTCGTTTGAAATTTATTTAGCCCCAAAATGCAATCTTAATGTCGGCTCGGAGGAAGGTCTTTCGACTGTTGTTTTCATTTTTCGGGGCCAACAAATTTGCCATATCTTAGGGCAGAACAAAGACACATGAACTGGGACTTGCCCTTCCTCGTCCTGTGGACTTGGCTTGAGGAGACCAGGTAAATATTTATTTCCTCCTCAGGGGCGGAGGGCTAAGCATTACTTAGTTATCCCCGGGTCACCTGAGGGCTGGATGCTGCACAGAATCCTGCAAGAGCAGTTCAAGCTACAGCTCCAGCTCCTGATGCTTGTTTTAATTGAATTATTTCTGGGCGGTCTGCAGAGCTGTGCCGGTTATAAATTAGCAGATAATTGTCTATGCAAATTAAATTGTATATGCATTGCTGGTGGCAGCTAAATCATAATTTAAACACGTTTATTATTTATTTATCCTTGCTCCGGAAAGTTCCGTACTGAATACTCCTTGGTCTAGCGTCTTCTTGCGTTTGCAAATATGACTTGGAAGCTAATAAATAATTAAATTAATGTTAAAAGTTACAAAAAATATTCAAAATCAATGAAAAACGAGACAGTAAAACAAGCCTATTGAAGAGCGAAATAAAACATCCATAAGTTGTTAAAAAATGGACGATTAATCTATATTAAATTGGCTACATAAAAATTGGCTTTTAGATAAATTGGTACTATGAGTACCGGATATATTAAATATATAAGTCTAAAGGATAGAGCGTTGCCCATTATTTTGGAAAGCCTATGAAGGTCAATTAAATGTGTACCCAGAGCTTGTGGCGAAACACAAAGCATTGGCCAAACAATGCCAAACGGGCAAACAAGCATACACCCGAGACTCTCGAGCCAGGACAGTTAATAGATTTATGCAACTGGAGTGCTGTGGCCAGTCTGCCTCCGATAAGCTCTGGAAACGGCATAAAACCATGGGTAATTTCCGCTCTCTGATGGAAACCGTCCATAGGAGCTGTCAACAGTCAGAGCCAGACCCACAAGAGATAAAAAGCCATTTACGTAAGCTGTCAAGGACAAATTCGCCCACCCTAAACGCTGTTTCCATTGGCTTTATTGACATTTCGATGATTTCGCTAATTGATGCGCCTGATGATGTGATCGAAGAATATGACGTACCCGTAGACGGGTGAGGGGTACATAGCCCTCTTGGCGTTTCTGGAGTAGGGGCACTTGCAGGTCGCGTTTACGCAAATTATCTTGTGATCGCCCGTGTGCTTCAGCAACAGGCTGTGGGCACCTTCGTTCACCACCCGAAAGTTGTCGCTATCGTTGTACTGGACCCGGTTCCGGTTCCATGCGTAGTAGCTGAGGTGGTGCTTCCCCGGCATTAGCTTCTTGGTGTTCTCAAAAACAGCCCTCCAGTCGGTTATGTTCACCGCGGTCTTGAAGCGGCTCTCCCGCAGACTCTGCTCCAAGTCGATGAAGCTGGATACTTCCAGACCTTTGTGGCAGCGCATTTGCAGGTAAATAACAGTCTGTATGTATCGATATCGATAATATCAAACCATAATCATAATAGGCCGTCCACACTTACCGAAAGTTGCCGCTCGATCAGCTGCTTCTCCCGAAGGGCAAGCTGTTGAAGGACCTTGTCGTGGTTGTTTAGGAAGTCACCGAAGTTGTAGACCCCAAATAGACCGCGGGGCTTCAGGAGGAGCATCGCCTGGTCGCGTCGCTCCTCAAACTGGGCCCGGGTCAGAAGTCCTCCCAGGCAGTTTTTTCCACAGCCATTTAGAATCAGGTTTCTTTCGACTTGGATATTGCGCAAGTACCGAACATCTTTCAGGGTGATGAAGCTGTCCACGTAGTCATCGTAGGTGTTGAAGTCAAGGAAATTCATGATCGAAGCAAAAGTCAGAAACCTGAAAGGCAAAAGATCCAGTATGAGGCGGAATGACGGCAAATGGTAATTACTTCTTAAATTCTAACGAAACCGCAACAAGTAACTCGAAAAAGGGCTGCTTTTAAGCAGCAGAACTGCGTGTTTGTGGGGGCTTTGGCGTGTGATTGCGTACAAGTTAAAATGTGTTATATTTAAAACTAGTTGGAAGTTCAAACAAAATACACGACTGACAACTGACAAAAAGCTGGCAAACTCGGCTGAAAAGCTGAACTTTTGTTGGCTTAGCAGATTAAAGTGGTTCTCATTTCGGATTTCCTCTTGAATCTCAAAACGCGACTACAGAAAACTTTTCCTTTGCGTGCTGTGGTGGAGCAGCTTTCTAATGGAACATATTTAAGCTGAAACGATACCCGGAATGGACTCGAACCATTTGTGGACTCGAATTAAACCAATTTTAATTTCACCTGCCGCACAAATAATTAAAAATTTTCCACATAGTCACCCGGTCTAGCCTGAACTCGCAGCTCTGTTCGTGTGGCCAATTTAATAAATGAGAAAAGTTTTACAAATCGAAGCCCCGACATTGCCCTTTTACACTCCGGTGGGGCAGATTTTCAATTACATCTTTCTATGGGCCACGCCCACCCACACATTCAGGGCGCACGCACACGCCCCTTCCTTGCGGGGGATTACGCATATTCGACTAATTACTTCATCAACATTTTACACTGCGTGCTAAGGGAAGTTTCCATTTTCAGCCTGTGCGTACGCCAGCTCTTTTGTCCTCTTCCGCTTCGCATCCTGTGGCGCAAGGACTTAAAAGGTAGGTTAGTGGACTAACAAACGACACCTACAGCTTGGATAACATTTCTGATGGCTGGAAATTAGTATGACAAATAGTATGACAGCTGAAAAGATTGGAGTAACTATTGGGCTTACTTGTTTTATAGGCTGTTCGGAGTAATCGTACAGCTTTGTGTGTATTCCGTTAAAATGATGTAACTAAGCAATTATTTGGCCTATTAGTATTATGTTTATATGAAATTAATCTAAAAGCATAAATATTAACTCCATATAAAGTCTTTATTTTAAAAGAAAAATAAAATGTAGTCCATTTTTCTCACGACAGACATTGTAGGCATTATAGCCCTAACCTATTATTATACTTCCGAAAGGATTTTGTAAAAAACGGTTCATTCGATTTTGGTTCATTCTTAATATAACAGAAGTGACTATTCATTACTAATGTGGCTATCTTTGGAGCTACGATTTTAACCGAAACTCCAACTAAATATACATATTAAAGCTAACTTCAGTAGGTAATTTTTTTTTATTTTGATGAACTTGAGGAGGATATTGCCACCCTTCAGAGAATGCACAAAAATGTTACATTTTTTAAGGTTTTAAGGTTAAGCCATTTTTAATGTGTTATGTATTTAATGTATTATTAAAAAAATTAGATTGGAGTAAATGGTTTATAGCAACCATTTTCAATCTGGCTAATCGGCAAGTAATTAGTTAATTCATACTGAAAGGAAAATGCTGGCAGGTCCTGGCACACTTCCAAGTTGCTTTTCAATTTCCACACAACACACACAAAGATTTTTCGCAAGGATCGGTAGGTGTGCGCGGGTGTGTCAGGGCCGGAGTCTGTCTGTGTGGATTTCCGCTATTTAGACACGCTTTTCCACTGTTTGCAATTGTTGGTGCTGTCGCTGCAGCAATTAACATGCAACCCAGCCTCCCTGCCCCGCTCGCACTCAGCCTCTCGGAATTTTCTGTGCCCCGTCCATGCGGCAGCTGCTGTTCCGTTTTGCGTGCCTTGTCACCATCTTGCCACTGCAGCTTGCCGCCTTCTTGAGCGCGTAAATTGCTACTTCGCGGATGGAATCGCCCCCTCTCTCGGGCTGGATGTCGCCAGTTCGGTGCCAGCCCCGATCCCCGCTTCGACTATGCTTGCTGCCAGGACTCGCTCGCATCCCCATTCTGCCCGCTGCGTCTTGGCCGGGCCATTGTTTGACTTGGTCATTAGTAAATGTACTTTGTCGCAGCATAAAAAGGAGTTAAGTGCGCACTCTAAGGATTTATGTGCATTACCGAAGAATGGGGCAGCAATGCTCGATGCTGCAGCCCGGGACCTGCCTTTTCCATGTGTTAAGTGCACATTTTTGATGAATGAGAAGGGGTAAGGAGGTAGAACTGGAAGTGTAAGTCGAGGTTGAGAAAGTTCCTTTAACTGGTTTACAATTGCTTAACGGACTGCCACTAGAATTTACAGCCGAGCAGTTGCATTCATTATGGCACAGCCATGCCAATCATAAGCCAATTCATAAGCCGTCTAAGAACTTTTTGCGATAGAAGCCTTAAGTGCATTTAAGTGGACTTATTATTCATTTATGCAGTTGATCAAAATCAAATGCAGGGTACAAGTGATGTAGTTAAAGCCTTCTAGACAATAAATAAACGTGATAAAGAGCCTTATCAGGAAAAGGAATGAGAAGGAATGGGTGATGTGTATTTGATCCAGGTAAATAATTCCTAATGATGTTAATTTGATCAAGGTGTATACATTTTACTAAAATGCATAAATGTTAACCGAAAGTTTTCAAAAAATGTTCTTACTAATTTAAAGCTAAACGTCAGAAGCTTCGTACTTACAAAGGTTGGCTGTAAGGCTTTTATTTCAGATTTCATGTGAAAGGCGTTTATTGATTCCCCCTTTGGCCAGAAGATGACAGTCCATATAAGATATTTCTAGAAATCCAGACCATAAAGCCTTGGGGCAGACTTAGGCGAGCGAAAAATAAATTGAACTCAACCGGACTTCTGTGAAGCATTGGCAAATGCGAGCACAAATTATCAAGTTACCATAAATTGCCCTCACTCGGCTCGTACATCTTGCCAATGAAATCAAAGCCACATAAATTGCGCAAATAATTCTGCCAGATTGGTCCCCTTTGCGAACTTTTGCCGACGTCCTGCGAGTGCAGCTGCCACAAAGACAAAGGCAGGACCAGAAGAATCATCACTTACAAACTGACCACAAAGTCCTGCCAGCCACTGCTCCCCTCGACTAGGCGCCCTTGGAAACAGGCCCGCAATCGATCAAAAGGAATTATGTCTCAACACAATTGTAAATAAATCTTTGCGGCCATGTGGACATCATGTGCATGCCGAGGCCCGAGGCGAAGGACTAAGACGGAGTAGGGAGACGGAATGGCTCAAATCCTGCCCAGCTCACATATATGAAGATTGAGTGGTAATGTGTGCAAATCTAAAGCTTCCCCACAGGCTCCCCGCCGGCGAATCCCGATGACCGTTCTCTCGCTGCTTGTTGACATGTTGGTAGATTGGTCCTTAGCCGATTGCATCGATTGCCAGGATGGCTGAGCGCCCCTCTCGGTCTCAGCCTGGAACTGGGGAATTAAGTCTAAGTGCCGGAAATTAATCTGCTTAAAAGAAGCCACCATCAGTAACAGTGCATACCCAAGTACCAGATGCATGGGCATCAGATCCCCAATTTAATATTATTCAAGTCGAGTTACAAGCGTCGTCCCTATTAGGAAATCGCCTCGAGGCGAGGACACCGTGGTCCAGCTGCCTTTGCTGCTTCATAGCTGGTTTTCGGTCCAAATTTATAATGCGTATCGATAATGATTTGTAATTTAAAGCTCAAACAAGTTTCCGGCAATTTTTGTGGCTGACACGCGCCTACCATTTTCGCTTCCCTCGTCATCTTGTTTACTTTTCATCTGGCAAGAAAAAAAAAACCCAGAGAGAGCAAGGCTCTGTAAAAAACGAACTTATCGACGTAATCATTGGGACACGGAAAGAAACATCAGCTTTCCCATTAATTTGTTTCTTGTAAACTGCCTCTGCCGAGGGCTTTGTGCAATCAGCACGAACGTGAGCATCTCCGGTGGCCCGGAGTTTGTATTGTTTTGCTTTTGTGGAGCAGGAACAGGAAATTCGATAGCAGGAAATGTGAAATGGCCGTTAATGACGACTGCCGTAAATATGGGTAACGTGCCAGATCTCCCTGTGCGTATACGTAATGTGGAGATATCAGAGATTTTTTAATGGCAGAGATAACACCACATGAGTCTTTCTAATTTGATAATATATCTGAGCTATATCTGAGCTGGAATAACATATTTAATTACCCTTCAAACGGTTGGGCTCCGAGACATTTAATACTTTTTTCAAAAATCGATTCAATAAATGATTTTGTGGAAAAATATAGAGTTTTCAGATCGAATCACAATTTATTTATTAAAATATCATAGGCTATTACGTTTTATTTATTAAACTAATTAAATAAATATGCTTATAAACTCAATTCTTAAATTATCTAAATTATTATTATAGTATGTATGACTAGTATAAACAAATAATATTTATAGATAATAGATAATATTTTCACATAATAAGAGACTATTAAAATGGCATTGACTCTTAAACTGAAAACATTATAATTTTATCTATATATAGTTTTCTCTGTAGATAAAATTTTATCTTTTTAAGGCTAGAATAAATTATTTAGAGTACAATAAAAAAAATGAACACAAACGACTATTTACATTTTTAATTGAAAAAATTCTATTTGTTACTATTCAATTCTATTTAAATATATTAAAAATAGTATTTATTGTAAATATACTAGTACATTTAATCAGTAAATGTATAAAAATAAAGCATATAGCTTATATGCTAAACAGTAGGCTAAACAGCCCTGCACATAATTACAATAAGAGCAAATGTTGATGGAACATGAGAACATTACAGGAAGTTTGGCCAAATGAGGGAGCACTTGGGCCAACATCTGCTGCTTCTTTAGAGGCTTGTCATGTCTATTGTTAGTACCCGATGTTGCCTGCTGGTAGGCATCTTCATGTCGGCCATTAAAATCGTGCTCGCCATATGTCAGCGATATTAATTTTTTGCCGGAGCAGATTCGGTACGACGCCTCGATTGGCAGGCAGTTGCCAGTAGGCCGGGGACTACGTGGCTGTTGTTTCCATCGCCCGACACGTGAGTCCTTTCGCCGCTTACGGTTATGGTTATCGACCTTATGTAATTTGCCCAGCCATAATGCACTTTGTTGTCGCACATGTAATTAACTCAAATAGGCAGCAATGCCCGGGCCCCGGGGCCATGGCCTGTTGCGTAAAAGGATTCGGGTAATTGCCCGATTTGTAATCTGCTAAAAATGAATTTAATTTGCTT